TCCCTCCTCCCTCTACGGCTTTCGTAGTTCTCCCCCCTCCCTTTCCTTTCCCTCCCCCCATCAGCCTTTCGCGTCATCATCCTCGGGTGATGGCTTAATAAACACACTCACACTCACACTGACACTGACACAGACTCTCTCTCTCTCTCTCTCTCTGGGAATGGCTTTTGCATTGTGTATGTACTAGACATTTTTTTAAAAAAAAATAGAGTTACCTGCAGAGACGTCGTTCCCAGAAATCTTTTCCAACCATCATCCTTCACAGTCTCAGCCCAGGAGACAACGGGATCCTTACCTGGAAGACCTCGTTTCCAGTAGGAGATCCTGGTGCAGAGATCTCAAGCCTCGATCCAGAAGATCCCACCCTCTGAGTTGGGGGCAATACGGGGTCACCTCCTCAAAGGCCACTGGAAGCGGGAAGGAGAAAACACAGTCTCACTGGGTGGGAAAGGTCCCACAACGTCCCAACTCGGTTTATTTCAAAGGTTTGGAAATAACAGGCATTCTCTGAAGTTCCGCTTCAGCAACGTGATTCGCACGTCCTATTTTCTGACAAACAGGAGAGCTGCCACAATTACGTGTCAGTTTTCTCAGCAGAAATCACAGTTTAGCAGAGTATTTGGCGGTTCAGGCAGTCCAGGAATAATTCACACGCAGTCCAGCAGCATTTCCTTCAGCATAGTGTATTTCCAGCAAATATATACAGCAGTCTGGCAGCATAGCAGGCAGATGTGGTCTTCAAGCAGGCGAAGATACAACTAACTGTACAGCTCTACATATATACGTATCCACAACCAATCAGGTTACACATTACCTCATTACACATGACCTCATCCCCAGGTGACATCAGCCCTGGACTACATCATCTCTGCTGAGTCATCCTGACTCAGTTTCAGCACACCTGATTAATATGGCTTCTCATTAAACTACTCCATTCTGCTCAGGCCTGCAATTTTCCTTGACATTACGTCCGGCTGATTTTGAAACACTGGGCCAGTAGAAAGGAGTAGTAATTCGATTCAAGGTCCTTTGGAGGCCAAGGTGGCCAGAAAAAGCAGCAGCGTGGGCTAACATGAAAAACCTTTTCTTGGCAAGGCTTTGGCACTGTGTCCAGGGAGGCAGGAGCTCCTCGTAAGAAAGTCCCAGACCAACCCTGACACAGCCACCCACACCCATGGCGGGGGCTGTGGTGGGAGGGGCTCCCCAACCTCATTGCAAGGAGAGAAGGACGTGGGGTGGGTGAGACGGAGAAGCGAAGGAAGAAGAGGCGGAGCAAAAGAGAGATGCCACACCCACCCCGAGGCTCCTCCTCCTGAGGGGTGGGGCATCACCTCCTCCTCCTGGATGCCACCTCCCCCCTGAAAGGGAATTCAAAAGGCTCCACAGCCAAGCCAGGGCGAAGGAAGGCAGGGGTGGGGGGAATCACCTGAAGAGTCACCACCTCTCCTTCCCTTTGGAAACCTTCCCCGCCAAAGGAAGGAAGGAGAGCAAAAAAGGAAAAGGGAGGTCTCTATGCACAGGAGAAAAAAACCACCACCACCAGAGACTGATTCCCTCGATGCTCACACACACACACACACATGATTGGAGGAGATCCTTGCAAGCGTCCTGCCTCCCAGGGTGGGATGGTGACCCTCCCTCTCTCTCCCTCCCCATAAATGACCCCTGTAAAAACTACATATGAAAAAGACATGCTCTAATGTTTCAATTTCTTTATCATTGCAGGGACGTGGTCGATTTTCATGAGGTATACTGTGGTAACCTCCCTCTAAAACTGAGGATGGAAGGCAGTTAAATCTCGCTCCTGAAAACTCCTGCCGGCATTTTGAGATGGTTAGGTTTTCCAGGTAGTTCGCTCTTTGGTAGAATTTGAAATTTACATCAAAGTTCACGGGTGAAAAGATTTTGCGGATATTGTAAACAACTTTTCTCGGTAACGACAAGCTGATGCTTTTGTACCAAATCCAAACGGGATTCCTGCACAAATGCCCCATATGAAAATGAAAGTCCCTTTGCGGCCCAAGACGACCTGAGAGGTTTCACTGGGGAGGAAGACAAACCGTCCCTTGGAGATGGCAGACGGGGGGGGGGTCACTTTTCTGCCCCCAACAGAAACATCCGGGGGAAATGGTGTGGCCTGGGGGGCAGAAACCTCTGCCTGAGCAGAAAGCGCTCCCTCCCCCCACTCCCTCCCCCACTTTCTGAGTGTACAACCTCAGTGTTAATTAATTAATTTTTCATGAGGCTCCGGCTGCCCATCAGTCCCTTCAGCATGTTTTGAAGGCAACAAAAGGCTCCATTTCTCCAGCTCAGCAATTTTCCTGTTTTGAAACATTCTGTGCAGCCTTTAGGCCCTTGATTTCTTTGTCCTGCCTAATCAACCGGGCTAAGCAAACATACCTGTTTCTTCCTTCGGAATTTAGGAATTCTCATTCGTAGCCCCCTTTCCTCCTGGTCAGAGGGCCTCAGGCCACCCAGAATATTTAAAAACAGTCCGGATACCCGGGGGATGGGAGTGGATCTGGGTAGAAGATCCATGGACGGGGAGAAGCGAGAGGGTGAGGGTGCCTCGGGAGGAGGCAGACTATGGAAGGAGAAAAGGTTTCGCCCCCAGACCGTCATACTGGGGTGAGAAAGAAGCTATGGAGTGGAGAAGGCGGTTAAGAGAGGAGAAGGAAAGGGTAGAACAGGAGGAAAGGGAAAGGAAAGCATGGCGACTGGAGGAGGCTCTCCGGAGGCGGTGTTCACCGGTCCCTGGGACCCCGACCATGAGGGAAGTGACTCCTTCGACCTGGAAGGAGGAGAAGAAGAGACCTTACCTTTGATTGGCGAGATGGTCGAAGAAAAGGTGCCGGGTGACAGTAACCCGTTTAGGAAAGGACTATGGTATGAACTGAGGGAGTATGCCATTCAGCTTAAGCAAAGCAGTTACATACACCAGCAAGCTAGGAAACTTATGTAATATACCCATATATGGTAATGTTGTATTACCCTGAGCATGCTCAGTGAGAAGATATGTCATGTAAGTTCGGGGACCCCGACCATGAGGGAAGTGACTCCTATATTACTTATGTAATATACCCATATATGGTAATGTTGTTTTACCCTGAGCATGCTCAGTGAGAAGATATGTCATGTAAGTTCGTATACTGTATGGCGATTGGCTGTATAACCCCTGTATTGGAGGACATTTTGTGTTGAATAAAGAAGGGCTACGGGCGTGCAGGCAGGAGCTTTTTTTTCCCCTCAAGCCACAACACGCCACGGCTGACTGTTAGGCTCTGGAACCCATTTGGCCCTGATTTGTGTGTTCTGTGTGATTCTTTCGCACCTGTGTGGCGGCCGGACCGCCACAATGAACCACGTTATAACCCGTTTTTCCAAGAGGTTTGGAGACCCTCGCTGGACCCGTTGGCGGCAAGAGAAATACCAGAGAATAATGTGAATGTTAATCCTTCTTTAGTTGATGTTACAATAAATCCAAGTTTTGTTTTTCAAGAACAAGAGTCTCCTGTCTTTGTGTCAGGTATGCCTGAGGTAAAAATTCAACCCTCACATGGGTTTATAAGGCAAATGGGCAGAGTGTGTGGAAGTGCTGGTTTTAAAAAAGGAGAAACAGCACCTCGAGTGCAAAAGGGCCACAGAGCAGACGGGCGTTGGAGAAATCAGCTTTCCCGAGGTTGACCTCCCTTTCCTTCATCTGGCCTAAAGGGTGACAGAAACAGGCAGCGACTCGGGTTCCGAAATGAATGACCGCGGCTTCCCTTTAGCTACAGAAATCATCCTGTCAGAATGGAAAACGAACAACTCTGGTGACCTGGAAGGATATCTCTTCACCACAATAGCCTCGTTCTGTCATTTCTGCCCCCCAAAACATGCTACCACGTGGGATACACAGTTATAATAGTCAGAAAAGGTGATTTCAAAAATCAGATTACTGTTCTGGATTTAATTTTATCTCCCCAAAACTGGAAGAAAATAGAGGCACAGAAACGAGAGGAAGGTACTGAGAAAATATGGGAAGTGCCAGAAATGGACAGCTTTCCAGACAAGCTGATATGTCCAAGGCAGAAGGAAAATGAAAGAGGGGATGTATTTTATAATTGGTCTCGATTTCTTGATAGAGTTGGAATAACCTAGACTTAAATTAAAATATGAATATAAGCTGATATTTAGAGGATAATCAAATAGTATACAGATATATATACATAAAAAAGAATACAAAGATTTTTTGTACTGGAAAATGAATGGATCAGAGGCATGCATACTTAATATGAATAGAATGGATGATTGTATACTCTGTGTTCTCCTATCCTCAAAACCTTTTTCCCATCCCCTGCACTCCCTTTTACCTTTTGTACAGTGGGGTCTCTACTTAAGAACTTAATCCGTATTGGAAGGTGGTTCTCAAGTTGAAAAGTTCTTATGTTGAATCTGCATTTCCCATAGGAATGCATTGAAAACCATTTAATCCATATCTGCTCTTTTCTGTCCATAGAAACTACAGTGGAACCTCTACTAAAGAACTTAATCGGTTTTGGAATGGTGTTCTTAAGTTGAAACGTTCTTAAGTTGAAGCAAAATTTCCCATAGGAATAGACTGAAAACCAATTAATCCGTTCTGGCTGTTTTTTTGTTATGTAGAGGTGCGTTCGTACATTGAAGCATTAGTTCCCATAGGAACTAATGCAAAGCTGGTTAATACGTACTCTACCACTAGGGGGAGAATCTTTTTTAACCTAAAATGACCTAAGGTTAAAAAAAGAGCAGGAAAGGTTTTTTTTCCTGTTCTTATCTTGGATTTCTGTTCTCAAGTAGAAACAAAATTTAGCAAATGGAGCTGTTCTTAAGTTGGATTGTTCTTAAGTAGGGACGTTCTTACGTAGAGACCCACTGTATTCCCTACCCGATTCCCAGTAGTTAAAAAATAATAATTTTATTTTAAAAGAAGAAACCCACTGGGAGGTGTGATTTTTTTTGGGGTGGCGGGGTGTCGCCATGCAGGAAAACCCAGGACAGACCCCCACCCTTGCTTGGAGGGGATCTGGACTCCTCTTTTCCCCCAAAGCACCCCCTCCCTCCCCTGAAGACTGACACCCCCCCACCCCCCATGCAGAGGGGGGGAACTGAGAAGAAGCAAAAGGCCAGCTTTGGGGGAGATTTGAAGCAAAAGGCTAGCCCTGGGAGCCAGCCCTGGCTCCCTAGCTGGGTGTTTTAAAGAGCCACTTTAAAAACTTGGCTCTTCAAACAGGCCTTGACTCCTGTCAGTTCTTGAAATCTACCCTTCTGTTTTTTCATTCCCTGTCTTGATCACACTATATTGTTGTTTAAATGTTTTATGATTATTGGAATGCTAAGGACTAGGGGACTGGAATGCTAAAGTAGGGAGCCAAGAGATAAAAGGAACAACAGGGAAGTTTGGCCTTGGAGTTCAGAACGAAGCAGGACAAAGGCTAATAGAGTTTTGTCAAGAGAATAAGCTGGTCATCACAAACACTCTTTTCCAACAACACAAGAGGCGACTCTATACATGGAAATCACCAGATGGGCAATATCGAAATCAGATTGATTATATTCTCTGCAGCCAAAGATGGAGAAGCTCTATACAGTCAGCAAAAACAAGACCTGGAGCTGACTGCGGTTCTGATCATCAGCTTCTCATAGCAAAATTCAAGCTTAGACTGAAGAGATTAGGAAAAACCACTGGGCCACTCAGGTATAATCTAAACCAAATCCCTTATGAATAC